TATTGAAGTATATAGGATCATATTTAATTAAATTCCTTGGGAATTAAAAATGATTTCTTGAGGAAGAATTTACAAGCTTGAGAAGTCATGCATTTGAACATAAATTTTGACACATAGAAAATTTTTCAGTTTTTCCATCTTTGCCCTTTTTGCAAGTTTTCTCAATTTTTGTGATTCCACTTGATCAAATTCAAATATCAACCATATTTTCCTGAAATTTATCCTTATAGGTCCATATTTAACTAAAAATCTCAAAAGTTAAAGTTTGACTTTGAGTAGTTGACTTTTCTAGATGAAATCAAATCTTCCAATTCCAATGAAATTTTGTGATCATGATGCAATCTTCAATACATTGAGGCATCTTATGGACTATGAGATGATGATATTAAGGACCCATTGAGTGATGTACATTATATTTCATCTTTCAAAACCCCAATTCTTGATTTTTCAACTGAGGGTGCAATCACTTGATGATTCTATGATGAAACCCTAATTTGTTGATGGTGATGATGTGTATGAATTATTGAAGCAAAATTACTTATATGATGATGTATATGATGTGGGATATTAGGTCAAAATTAGGGTACAACCGTAAAGATTCATAGTTATATCATATGTCTATAATTTTTTGTGCTATTTTGAAGTCAAACTTTCTGTTTTAGAGTTTACGCAAGAAATATTTTGATATGGCTGAACTGAAACGAATAGAATTGGATTTTTGTAACTTTGTTTGAGGTGCGGTCAGTTGCATTAGAAAGAGGATTTAAATAACTTTAAAACCTTGAGAGTTTCATGACTTTATCACGAGTCTATAATATTTGGTTCTATTGTGAAGTGAAACAACTTTAGAGTTAAGGCAAGGGTTTCAGGAAACCCTTGGAGAAACATAAGAATTTTAGTATATTTACAAATAAATTAAAATTGAGTTAATTGATATGTTTTAGAGTTGATTTAAATTAACAGAGTTGAGTTTGAGGTATTTGATATGTTTAGAGTTGGAGTTGAAGGTATTTGTTTTTTTAGAGTTGAGTATGAGTCATATTTTTATTTCTTTAAGTTTTCCAAATTAAAAGATTTAAGACTTGAGTTATTGGGTAGTTTAGAGTAAAGTTATTGAATTGTTTGGAGTCAAATTTGAGTAATCTGATGAGTTCAGAGTTAAGTTGGAGATAACTGAGTTAAGAATATAGTTCGCCTTGAGAACTCTGATGGGTTATGAGTTGACTTTGTTGATCCTGTAAAGGTTATGGAATAATATATTTACCTTGTTGATGAATAATATTGAGCATGTATAATAATTTTCTTACCCTATTGTTGAGCTTACATAAGTAATAATATGTTTCCTCTGTTGATGAGGGTTGTTGAGCACATACGTTAATATTTTCTTTATTGGTGAGCGTTGTATATATAATTATATGTTGTTGAGATGTTATTACATATATATTGTCGAGATATAATTATATGAATATGTTGAGAAGTGTAGTTAGATAAAAGCTAATATGGGGGCCATATTGGGCGATGTTTACGGTTCGAAGAGGAATCAATGGTAATTGTTGCACGTATATGTTATTGTTACATATCATGCATCATGTGTGTCAGTGATAGATGTACGGACCTAGGTCCAGTGACGAGTCTTTGGTTGAAAGGAGGGGATCAACGAAGAGTTGGGGTTCGAATGGGAACCAACAATGAAAGGACGAAATCAATAATATAACTCCGGTGTCCAAGGTTGGTACCACACGCATTAAAGTCGAGGAGTTGGTTGCATTGTACACATATTTGCATTGTGAATTGATTGTTGTTGTTGTGAATAATTCACATGTTGGTAAATGTTATGTATGATACTATCCTAACTATTTATTACACCGTTAACATTATGAATGTATTTCTCAGTCCTTTTTATTTGTTTGTGTGGCTTGTTGTACCAATTATACAAATACTCAGATAGAGGAGTATTAGTTGCTTTTGTGTGGAAGGATTGTCGTTGATGCCTACTTCGCTTTTATTGATCGTTTTGAGTTTACTTAGGGTTTTTGGATTTTCGCTCTAACAATGTAACATCGGGGCGGGTTATCATTTTATTGATGTTTTCTTGAGAGTTGTTGAGTTTATTTCTTTATATTAGAACTAAGTTATTTTATAAAAGTATGAAATAATTGTTGAGTTGATGATGTTTTAATTTTTGCTGCTTAATTTGATGTTGAGAAAGAGATTTTATGAGGAATGTGTGACACCCTATGCTGATTTTAAAATAAATAGTTTGCATTATCTTTTTAAATATGTGCTTTGGGGTTATGGTGTTACAGTCTCCGTCATCGACCTTCATCCAAAGCCTCACCAAATTAGAGATTATATTGTTAAAGGTATTGTCATGTTGGTACACATCAGATCATTCATGCATCTTAAAATTGTATAGTCACTAATTCGCGAAAAAATTGTTCATAAACAACTTTTACATATATTGACTCTCCAATTTATCCCAAACCGCCTTCGGAGACATTATGTTCAGGATATGATACATCACTTTATTTGAAACATATAAACATGTCTATCTTACAATCTTCTCCTCTAAATTTGACCAACCAATATCTGTCATGTCTGCCAGACTCGTTTCACGTAATATATTATATAAATCTAGCCAATAAATCTTTAACAATAATTTGAAATTACATGTTCGGTTGAACCTCACCACTTTAAATCACAAACAAATAGGGTAATATTTCACAATATCTTGTGTCAATATTTTGTGTGATTATGAGTCATTCAATACAATACTCAACACAAAGACATTTGACACTATTGGTATAAATAATCAAGAACTTATAATTGAAAAAGAAAATTATTATAATATGTCAAGATAGTGAACTGCATTTCGATGTCAGCGGAAAAATTTATTTATAATGAAATTACACGCCCACTAAACTGATTTCCAATTGCCTCGTGGATTAATGGTACAATACTACTATAGATGTTGATTAGTTCAATTATCACTAATTCATTTGTTTATTAAGCACTAATGATGACAACTTTGTTTTCACTTGTAAATTTATTGATTGCTTGTATGGCCCATTAATTCGACTTTCAATATATGTCCCGTGGTGATGGAGTTTAATTTTCTTAAAAATTCATAAAAAGACAAAATCACCAATTCAAGTTCACAAGTGCACCTACTCTTTTCCAAAATATAGAGCAGAAAAGGAATTAAATGAAAAAGAAATATTTGTTTTGTCACTTTCCCAATTTATGTTGGCTAGAAAGTGAGAAATTTTAATTCAACTAGATGCATGCACCACTTGCTTTTTGTGTTGAGTTCAAATCTATGATGGTTACTTTCACATTTACTATGAATAGATTTATTGTTTGATATAAAAAAATAGTTAAATATACATATGAGATCCTCATAAATGTTTTTAATATTTAATTTTAATTCTTTAAAAAATTTCTTCATAATAGTTTTTTTTTTTTTAATTTTCATCCACATTCTTAATCTCTCTTATTAAAACTATCGTAAATTTTATCTTGATAAGGTGCATGATGGATCAAAAGCGTAAAAGAAAATTTTTAAGAGGATTATTTTTTTAAAATAATATTTTGTAAAGACTAAAATTAAATGTTGAAATATTTACAAGGATCCCAATTATATTTAATCTTAAAAATATATATTTTTATTTAAATTAATATTCTAATACAATAAATGATATATTTTATAAAATAACTTTCATAGAAGGTAACTTATTTAAATGTGATGTTGTCATACCTCAAATTCGTCTACCCTAATATTATATCTAGGGTTTCTTTAAATAAATCGTATTATTTAGCTCTCACCTTTATGGGAGAGTTTAAAGTCAAAGGGTGTGTGTTGATATAAAATGGATAATTAATATTTGATGATCCAATAAGTGTTAAAGTTTGTTCCAATTTAAAGAAGATTTATCGTTTTAAGAGAGGTGTGCATAAATATTTTTTTAATAAGGCCCCTGTAGGTTTTTTAATAGGGTTAGAAGAATGTGAATAGCAATATGTTTTCGTTGTTGTTTAAGGTCCAATACATCAAAATGGTGTGGCCCATTTTATTTTTTAGTTTGAAAAGTTTGTTTTTATTATAATATTATTATTATTATCTCATAATTAATAATTCTTACTATTATTGATTTTTTTTTCATACTAATGTGGAATATAACTATATATTACATTAAGGGCTTAATTAAAAGTTGATTTATGAGTTTTGTTATCAAAAAAGGAAAGGTTTTTTCTACGGTTGCACAACCCAAAAAATATGTCAGGCTCAGTTCAAACAAAAAACTTGTTAGGTCCATTGCAAATTCTTTTTCTGTCTTAAAAGACTGTTTTTACGGTCTATGTTATTTTCACAAACTTTACTGAATTTATTTTATTTAAACTTGGTTATTCTTATTTTATTATTTGATTAATAAGCAAAGAGGATTTTTTACGGTTGCGCAACCCCAAATTCATGTTGCATGGCCCAATTAAAACAAGCAATCCAGGCCTATTATATAAAAGAAGCACACTGTAGTATTTCGCAACAGTCATTGTTCAAATTCAAAGCTTGCAAAAACGGATTGAAATGGCTCTTCAGAAACTAAGTCAAAAACCTTAAACACAGAAACTTTATAAACTAATCAAAAATTGAAATGCAGAAACATAAACAGAAACAAATATTAAGCATTCAAAAACTAATTCAATACCAATTACAAACAGAACCAATTTGTTTCCTTAAAACAAAAATCAAATATTGAAACCTATTGATTTCTTTCCAAATATACTAACCCTAAAAAACATTATAAAACTTAAACTAATTTTGCAGAAAAGCGAAAACAAAACACAGAGGGGGAACAGAGGCCAGTATACAGAGGAGAAAAAAACGCGGTAGGTCTTGTTTTGCATAAAAGAGAGAAAGCAGATCCTCATCGTCACCACTGTCAAAGACGCATTCTCTATGTTGCAGCTCCGGTCAGAAGATCTCAACCATCCCCTTATTCATGTTGTTTCTGCGCAGTCCTAACGATCCAGATCAACAACATCGCACGCTTCTCTCTGATGTCGCTCAAGTCAAACGAACCACGTCACCATCCGCCTTAGTCTGTGATGGACAACCCCACCACCACCGATTCATATCCGCCACCAAGCAATCACCTCCGACCACAACAACACAGGCAAGCTTCGACCGATCTGCAACACCCAAATCTGCGGCCACCAAAGGAAACTCATAGGTTTCATTTTTTTCCTTTGGTTGTTGATTGTGTTTTGTCTGTGTAAAATTATTTTGGTTGAAGGAGACAAGGAGTACATGAAGAGGAAGAAGAGCTATATTTGATTTCAATTCTCTCTCTCTCTCTCTCTCTCTCTCTCTCTCTCTCTCTCTCTCTCTCTCTCTCTCTCTCTCTCTCTCTCTCTCTCTCTCTCTCTCTCTCTCTCTCTCTCTCTCTCTCTCTCTCTCTCTCTCTCTCTCTCTCTCTCTCTCTCTAGTGTAAATGTAATGGTGTTTTACTTTTATTTTACATAATTAAGGGACATATGTCATCATCTAATCGGATACCATTTTTTGGTTTGAAAAGTAAAAAAAAAAACATACAGAGCAAATAAAAGATAGATGCGCCTCTCCCCACTGAGTTTTCATTAATTTTGTTTTCTTTAATTTTTATTTATTAAAATTGGGTCTTTTAGAATTAGTTAATTTGAGCCTTTCCACTTTATTTACTAATTCACACATTTGATGCTTCTATTTCACACCACTAGGTTGGGTTAATTATTTCCTTAGTTTTGATAACTTAGTTAACTATTTGATTTGTTTAATTTTCTTTTAATGGCATTTAGGAAATACTAAAAATCAGAAAGGACAAAAAAACAATAAAATATACTAATATCAAAATATGTTATTTAGGTTATTAGATTATTGAGTTATTAAATTAACTTTGTGCATAATTAAACATTTTTTCAAAATAATTAATTCAAACATTTTATAAATAATAGGATGTGTATCTTCGAGTAATTAAATTGGTCGATATATTATCTACCGATTTATGATTCAAAAATCAAAATATTAAAATCCATGCAAACTCACCAAAATATTCCATCTGCGAGCAACATGTGGCCAATATCTGGCCACATGATGATGAAGACTATATCAAACTTCCTCCGCATCCTTCACGACGAGCAACACATGGTCAAAATCTGGAAATATGATGAGGAGACTGTATCAGACTCTCCCGCTCTACGTCTCAAAATAGCTAACCAACCTCGAAACATTTTTCAACTAACATAATCAAAATCCAAGATCATCTTTTTTCAAAAAGATTAAATAGCATCGTCTTAGAATCAAATTACGAATTGCGTCTACGATCACTCAATTTACAACCCATATAAGGTTAAAAGTTAATTCGAAAAAAATTCTACGCGATCTTTTTAAAAACACCAACCAACACCGCGAACTATGGAATGAGACTCTGATTCCTCCTAAGAGGATATGTAGGAATACGATTAAGAATCATGGCGAGTCCCGGTAACAAAAATTCAAACCCTTTTCCCCCCAACTAAAATTAAAACCCTATTTCCTAAAACTTGCACTTCTAAACTTAGTATCCTTGCGAACAGGGTAGATAAGGGGTGCCTAACACCTTCCCCTCATCTAGAACCGAGTCCAAATCTAGAATATCTAAAATTTAGGGTTATTTCCTTATACTCCCTTACTTTAGGATAAAAATCAAAGGTGGCGACTCTGATTTAAAAACCAATTAAAACAGCTGACGACTTTGCTGGGGAATCAACCCTATGTTTAGAAGCCTCTCCTTTAGGTTTTAGTGTTTTTCTTATTTTTTGGGTTTTATTCTTTCTTATTTATTTATTTATCTATTTATTTCTTTTTTTTATCATTTATTATGCTTATATCTGTGGCGGGATTTAAAAAATTTGCAAAATTATTCTCAAAACCCTTAAAAAGAAGGTTCGTCTATTAGCCAAGGGGTTACATCAACCCTATGAGTTTATGTGACGACTTCGCCTAGAGTCGCTGGAATTCTGCAAAAGGAATACCTTTTGAGATACATCCTCTTGGGAAGTAAGACTTTGGAATGACACCTATGACTCTTTATACGGCCTATAATTCAAAAACTCGTGATGATACCTTTCATGACCTAGAGACGAAAGTTTAGGTCTGTAAAGAATCTCCGCTTAAGGGAGGCCCTTACACCTTTCCCTCTAGTGTTATTCATGATACCCTTAAGGAAACCACCTTATGGTGGAAGTTAGAATATCTGTAGGACAATAATAATAACCTACCTTCTAAGGATACCTTTCACAAATCCCATTGTGATATACAAACCCACAAGGGTTATCCCTTCACCCACTACTATCTTTAGCCCACAGGGCTTCCGTCTATATCATCATCCCTATCCTGTAGTGACTCCTCGTCGTCTTTCACTTGTAATAATCCTTAAATAATTTTGTCTCCATATCTAAGACAATGTAGGATATCATCAATTATCATATTCATCTGTAAGGAGCCTCTGCCTGTCTCAATTTCTGAGTCAGAGTAGGATATCATCATCAAACCTGTATAGGGTACCCCTATATCTACCATCATATTGCATCATTGTTGTATTGCATAACCATGAATTTTTTATACTTTTGCATACCCAAGCATTTCCATACATTTTCATTCTTCATCCATCTACATAAAACTCATATCTCTTCCTCTCACATGAAACTTCCAACCATAAGCCAACAAGGTTATTCCCAGATACTCAGAATGAAGTAAGTGTAAAGTTAGATACAAAAATGGAATAAGGTTAACAAGCCACAGCTGAGGACATCATTACACCTCAAGAAAATGCTCAGGCTCGACCTCATCCTATACAAGCTTCAATGGAGAACCTAGTTGTGCAAGAAGATGCAGTTTTTCGAGACGGGTATACTCCATCTCATGAATCTATTGAGTATCATCAATTTGCATTCCCTACGCCAAAATCTCAAGGGGTAGACCTAATCATGAACATTAAAGAACCTTAAAATCTTTAGGACATCAAAAGATACCGCATGCTGGAAAAGAGGCTCAGTGCCATAGAAGGATAGGATACTCATTGCTTTGATACTTCTTCTTTATGTTTGGTTGAGGATGTGGTATTTCCTATGAAATTTAAGATTCCATATTTCAAAAAGTACAAAGGGTCTAGCTGCCCTAAGACCCATTTTAATATGTATGTTAGAAAGATGGAAGCATACCCACGCGACGACAAGTTACTTATCCATTGTTTTCAAGACAGCTTTAGTGGAGCATCATTGGAATGGTAGACATAATTGGAAAGAAACCATGCTACCACCTGGAATGACTTAGCTTTGGAATTTCAGAAGCATTATCAATACAAAACTAACATGGCTCCAAGTTGCATGCAACTGCAAGATTTATCTTAGAAGAGTAATGAATCTTTCAAAGAATACGCACAAAGATGGAGAGAGTTGGTTGCTCGAGTACAACCGCCATTATTAGATAAGGAGTTGATAGACGTGTTCATGAGCACCCTACAAGGTCAGTACTATAATAAAATGTTGGGCAGTATACCATCACGCTTCTCTGACTTAGTAATAGCTGGGGAACCCATCAAGAACGACATCAAAACCAGAAAAATATGAAGCGTCTCGAGTAGCTAGACTAGTGAATCCCTTAGAGATTTCAAAGAGGAATAAGAAAATGAAACAAATTCTATTTGGGGAACTTACCAAGCTATAGAAACTCTATCTCCTGCGTCTTATCATCAATATTCATATGCAATAGATGCTCAATACCAACAACCACCCTTTGGTCTTCAACACCAGCAGCCATGGCCTATACCACAGAACCAGCACGCTGAGATTTCACCTTGACATCGACGTCATAATCGACAGGTTTGGAATCGAAACAATCACCATCAACGCCCGAATCAGCATAGGCATCCAAACAACCAAGAAGGGGGAATCGGCAGTTCGACCCGATCCTTATGACATACAACCAACTATGGTCATATCTGGTCCAAAATTCATCAAGGACCCCTAGACAAACCAGATTCATGAAGTCTCCATTTCCTCCTTGGTACAACTCAGATGTTTAATGTGAGTTTCATGATGGAGTGGCAGGGTATTCGATTGAGGAATGTAACTCATTCAAAGAAGTGGTGCAAGAGATAATTGATAATAATCAATTAACATTTGAAGAAAATGACCCACACATGATGGAAAATCCCTCACCTTGATTGGTTGATCACTGCAGAAGCTTATCTCCAGGATAATTAGGCTTTATCATTTCAAATTATAATCTCTCTCTTGCTAAGTTTCATTTGTTATAAATTTGTACCTTTTGGTTTGTAATTCTAATAAAATAAGCATGCATGTTTTTGAAATTGATTCATTTGTATCCACTCTTCTATCGCTTTCCAACAAATATTCAACGACTTCCCAATTTCACTCTTTCTTTTCCATTTTCAAAATTAACAAACTGTGATGGAGAATGACGAAAAGATAAAATAATCAAATTTTGCTGACATATACTTTTTAATAGTAAGGATTAGCTGACGATGTAAGGCGTTATTTCACTTCCTAAATAATGAAGAAATAAGGTGTTAATCCATAGTTAACCCCCTCGAGCCAGAAGTTGGAGTTCTTTCTATTTTCTAAAAAACCTTTAATCTTAACCAGGGGCAGGGTAGATCTCAATTAATTAGACGATGCATTCAAACCCCAGGATAATCGAAATAATCTAAGCAAAGGTTTAAGCATATTTATTTCCTCGATACATCATCGAGAGAACAATCTAAGCAAAAGATTCGAGCATATTATCTTCCCCGCGTTCATCATCCAAGATTGAGGAATCAACAAATGAAAAATCCACAAGGTCTTCTTCCTCAGTACATAAATCAAGATCGAGGAGATGATGAAGACGAAGCTTACAATAATCAGTGTGGTAGTCACCGGTTTTCAAAGTCAAAAGCATAAAAAAAGAAATTAAAAAAAAAACCCGCTAAGTCAAATCAAATCAAAGCTTGACTTAGGCAAAATTTAAGGCATCCCGATGGATCGAAAAAAATTTTCAAAAAAAATTCAAAAAAATTGGTCCATGCAAAAATAAGGGATTGAAAATAATAAATTGGAGAATAATCTTGTAACTTCCACCTCAAGAATCATCAAGGCTTCTCATCAACGCTTGGATCTTGTCAATGCTTTTCATCGATGCTTGGATCATTTA